GCATATCTATTAGATAACATCTAACATTCATTAGAATTTCAGTGATGTGAAAGGTTTCAATATCCTCAGCAACAGCAGGGATGTGGGGATGGTAGCCCCCATAACGGTAGGGATACTGACCTACCGTACGCGTACAGAACGAATTATCAAGATTCTTGTTTGCATTAATATTATTTGTGGCATTCATAATATTTTTGATGTTTTTTTAGGAATTAATGCCCTTAATTTACTTTCTATATCCTTATTTATTTATTTTTTTCATTTCAGAATATTTATTGTTCAGATCTTAGATGCAGAGGAAATGGACAACAGGCAAAGCCCATGAGCGCCCTCTCCTTACAGTTATAAACAGTTTAAACACATTATATTGAATTGAAGTAATGATAAAACATGTATATTATGTACATGAATATTGATATTTGCATGTCATTATTAATTGTTTTGATAATGGTTGTACAAAAACTAGATTTTACAAAAAAATGGCAATTAAAATTATGCTGGTGGACAGCACATAGTACAATTATGTACTGGTATCATTCCATACAGCAAAGTCATGTGAAAAAAGATAAACAAGTAAGTGTAATCTAGTAAAAGCGTCTTGTATCTTTAACGAATCTCTTAACCATCTCTAAGATACTTATATTCATATTGATATCGAGTCTTCGACATCCTTAAAGAAAAGTCTGAGTATTTAATGGAATAATGTCATTAAGAGCAGAAATGGAGTTCAGGAGAATTTGCCTTTGATTAGTATACAGAGTACAATGGAAGAAGAAGTGATAACAATCCTCAACAGGAGAACTACATAAGCAGACAGGGGTTTCAATTAGGTGAGATTCAAATAGATCTGAATTCAGGTTACTGGCACAGTTTCTAAGTTGACAAAAGGTAATATTAAATTTTCGATCACCATTGTATTTAAAAATATCAGTATATTGGGGTTGAGAGTCCATTTCGAATGAGTGTAAAAATCTCTTTTTATAGATCCAATGGATGTCATTGTGGCATACAGGCAAGATGGATTATTCCATTCAGACATCAGTTTCGGGAAAAAAACTGGCATTATATAACTGAGTTCTTGGTATAGGAACATTAAAAATGATATTGTGGCGAAGATGATAATTGTCAGTATTATCATTAATGTACGGTTGAATTATATCATAGACATGAGAGGGACATTTCATATTATATATTTTATAAAAAGTAATTTTTTGATGCAAATGTCTTCTTCTATTAAGTGTTATAAAACTAGATTCTCTATATAAGATAGCATGACTTGTTCCACGTCTTAACCCTGAAATAAAACGTGCTGCTTTTAGTTGGATAGACTCCAAGACACTGCATTCATTATGCGCGCAGTTTGCCCATATAATATTTGCATATTCCAGAATTGGACGTATAAATGTGCTATATATAGTTTCGAGTGATTTTCTATCAATTTTGTATTTCAACATTCTAAGTATATTAATTCTTTTATAAGCTTTTTCGTATATATAGTTGATGTGGTTAGACCAATTAGCCTTGCCGTTGAAAAACAAACCTAGGTGTTTATGATTAGAAACATTAATAATTGATGATTCATCAAAATATTGGTTAGGATGCAGTGTCTCATAGTTAACCCGCCTCGAGAAGAGCAGGGCTACAGTTTTATCTGGATTAAAGATAATTCCCCATTTTCTATACCAGATTGAAAATTCCTTAGATCGTCATTTAATATATTAGCACATTCTTGCCTGTCTCCCTCAATGAGACCATATAAGGAACTATCATCAGCAAAAAGTTTGAAGTTTGAGGCCAATTCATCACCAATATCATTAATATATAATGAAAACAAAAATNAGACCGTCATGCCAAACTCTGTCAAAGGCTTTGCTAATATCACAGAAAATCATTCTGGCCTCTTTGCCTTTGTCTAAATGTTTTACAATTTCATCGTATATAATTAATAGCTGATACACTGTGGAATCCTTAGGTAAAAAGCCTGACTGATTCTTAGAAATAATGTTATATCTTGAGAGGTAATTGAACATATACTTAAAAACAATTTTTCAAATAGCTTGCTAAATATAGGGGTAACAGATATTGGTCTATAGTTGGATGGATCACTTTTATCTCCCTTGCCCTTATAAATTGGGGTAACATGAGCATTTTTTCAATCTATTTGGTAGCTTTCCGGTAGAAATAGATTTGTTGAATAAGAGATTGGGAAACCCCTTTTATGAATTTTGGAGGAATGCTGTCAGGGCCTGAAGGTTTATTAGTATTGAGTAGATCAAGCTGATCAAGAATGTCCTGTTCGGTTATGTCTATTGTTGAAAAGTTATGTCGGGCTCGGGGGCAGTCAGGAGGTAAATCGTCAGCATTCTTTTCAGTTACGGAAATCGAAGTGAAATAATCGTTAAAAGATTCCGCTTTATTTATGGGGTGGATTTTCAGTTCGCCGTTGATAATCAATGGAGAGTCATTTTCGTTTTTTGTTTTTGAGATTCATAACCGATTTTGCAATACGCCACCATTTCCGGGGGTATGGTTTTATCAATTAAAGAAGATTGAAGTTTAGATAAATACTTTTCTTTAGCTTCCCGGACTACGGATATCACTTCATTCCGAATAGATCTTAATTTTACCCAAGAAGCTGGAGTATTATGTAGCTTAGCTTTGGAATGCTGGTGATTTCTTTGTCTAATTTTGAGTCTGATACCATTAGTCATCCAAATTTTATCATTAGGTCTTATAGTTACTGTTTTATGGGGCACGAATAGGTCGATAGCAGTAAGGATTTTATCAGTTAAAAGAGAGTTCATATTTTCAATATCACCTTGTAATAAAAGATTCCAGTCAATGGACTTAAGATACTCATTTGCCCCGTCAAAGTCAGTGTTATTGAAGTATAATAAAGTCTTTTTATATGCATGTTTCTTTAAAGTTTTAATCCTATATCCTTATGTGTTTGAGTCGATCACTCCAAACAGCCAAACACCAACATAACTGACGATAACATATATATGCTAGATTGTGGGGTGTTTTTTTTTTTGCATTTTGCATGCAACTAATTGTTGCTCATTATTATAATTTCCAAAACACGTTATTTAATGGAAATTATCCATGTCAGATGATTTCTGTCAGTGTGTTGACATTCCATGCTGCAACGTCTTTCGTTGATGGTGAACTTAGTTTTATTTTAAAAAATGGCTTCGTTTCTGTAATACAAATGGCTAAAATAACTATTTTTTCTAAGGGGTTTAAAGTCCTGAAAAAATCTACTTTTCATTTTAGAGAGTCCAGCACGTTCTTATAGAGCGACGTTATAAGCGCGTATTCTTAGTTCTCGTTACATTCAGAAAAAAAATTAAAGCAGAATCCAGAACTCTCTACAAAGCGGCCACTTACGTTCCCCTGTGGTGTGACGTTAGGCTGTGTCGACTGTATAAGTAACAGTTTAAAATCCCACTCTTACAGGTTGGGAACAGAGATCTTAACATACTTTGGTCTGTAGCATTTTTGGGGATGACAACTCAATGATAATTTTGTTTCTATTTTTTTCTTCTTTTCTGTAATAATTTGTCTACTTTCCAAGTAGGATATGGAGAAGTTTGAAAAGTTTTTTTGCGAAAATGAATCGCGTCTGGCCAGCAACAAAGTGATAATGACATTGTACTGAACTGGATTGGTTAAACATTGAACTATGCATACCGTGAACATTAACTATTGCATAACTTCTTACATTTGTGTATTTTACTTGACGATATCATTCAATACACATTTTTGTCAGCTTAGCTCGACCAGACAATGACATATCCAAAACAATATGCTGTTTTAGGACACACTCGGATGGCGCAGTGGGTAGGGCACTCGCCTTTCACAAAGACGACCGGGGTTCGATTACCCAATCGGACGTGGAACTCCGGTTTCCTCCCACATTACGACCCATGCGCGCTAACGTCAAGGCCAACAAGAGTTGTTTATTCATTCACAAAATTTCTGTTGAGTCCTATCCGGATATGTACAACAATCTACACGTAATTAGTATTCCTGCAAACAAAACTTACTGGAAATGACCATTTTCGAGGTTGATGGACAGTGTACCTCTGCATTGTAGGTTACCAAAGCGTTACTATTATAATAAACCGGTCCATTTTACCGTCACGTTTCCTAACGATACGTTTCTATTTTTGTTTAAAGATCAATAAATTTAAATCTTGTCTCACAACTGCGTATTCATGTAAATACATGTGTGTATACATTCACCTAGTGTTAATAATCATTCATACAATTTGTTGTCCCGGTTCACTAGAATAACTACAGTTAAAATGTACGTGTGTCACTGGCTTGGGGTAAGTTACAGTATAACAACAGTCTACGGCTCGGGACCAGTTCAAGGCATTCGCGTTTTTTTTGCATTACCAGAATAGAAGTCGCAATAATATAATGCACAGTTTGTATTTTAAGGCAAAATTCAAATAGTCCACGCCCCCTGCCTTACCTAATGCGTTAACGTGTTCTTGAGAGTATGATTGTACGTACTTATTGTAATACCACTTACTCTAAGGGTCATGGATACTCGTAATGTTGTCACTTATTTACCATATATTGTCAGGTTGAAAAACCAATGTTGTCTTAAAATAATTACGAAAATGTCCTTACAAGTTGGTACTTATAAATAAAAATATTGGGATAGAAACTTTTAATGGAAAATGAAGATACATGGATATTGTCTACAACATAACATATTGAAATTAGTGTTAAGTGTCAGGACAATAATGTACAGATATTTGAACATAATAGCAAATTAATTTAAAAAAGCGTATACGTTAATATATAGTTACTCTAGATAATGACTCTAGATGGCCATCTCACTGTACTAACATGTATGATAGTATTGTAAGTGATATAAAAGGGGGGAAAACCCACCTACGTATTGAATACAAACAAAGAAAAACGTACGAATATATAGTTGATGTTAAGTTGGAGATACTGGCACTCACATTAATTGTACTTACCTATAGAAATGATTTGGTAATAACATATGTTGGTGCGATCACAGTACACAGCACTTCTGCCAAGCCAAGGAAAATTCTAATATCGCCAAAATACCAGTTGAAACAATCTTTAGAGGAATGACAACCCCTTTTGTGAACATTTAGATTACATGATATGGCTTGTTGCCAAATGTATTGTATACAATATATAGAAATTAAAATTTATTTTGTGAATGACGAACACATTTCAATGTTAAAAACTATAAACAGTTTTGAGGACAACACAAATATGAATGTTGCAGCCGATGAGTCATGCAGTATATAATTTCATGTAAAAAGACTTTAAACCCATAACGTGTCGGTGATAACATATACATTCAAATGTGCACCTCATCCAACAAATGGTCAATCCCATACAAGTATAGGTAGAATCAAGGTAAGACACAAGACCTCACAAACTGACGAATGTGCTAAAGTCAATGCGGACAGGCTTTGCATAATACTTGATCATGGCTTAACTATTATCCTTTTTATCTAGAGCTACAATGTGAAAAAAATAATTACAGCTACGGTCGTCATTGTGACCGATTTCCCGGATGATCTGGATGTGTGTCCAATAGGAAAAAGAAATTTTTGGTTGACATTAAGAACAGGTTACCAATTTTTATATTTAATATTCTTAGGATGGTTTGGGTCATACCATTCTGCCATTTATCTGTAAGGGATATTATGATGAATGCTAGAAACACGTATTCTCTGTTTTTTCCTAAGGTTTCATCACGTAAACCTTTGTATCTCCCTTTTGTTGTCTTTTTTCATATCAATCTTAGAAACAATTATGAAAAGACACTAATATTTAAACAGGTACGTTGACTCATTTACTAATCTAAGGTGGGTCAATTTTAAGTCTGAATACCCTTTCTATTTAAATTAATGTACTGACAAAGACGTACAGACGACAGCCCTTTAAACTGCAGATCAATTTCATATGTATTTGCACAGTACACGGCACTGGAAATTTAAATGACACAAACGATTATATGCTATAAAAGTAAGTACCTGTATTTGAAATCACGTGCAGTACATAATGCAACGTTAACGGGATTCGCCTAGCCAGTACTGATGATCTGTGCTGTATATAATACATGTTGTAATAACTTAAAGTAAACAAGGTATGTTAAAAAAAACGATGTTTTCTGGTCGACAGTGGAACACTGGCCAAAATCAAGATTAAAACTTTCTAGCAAGAAAAACAATCATTTCAAGAGATCCGGAGATATGGCAGGAGTACAAAGTAATAAGGGACCAAGTAGAAAAAGCAAATAAAAACTTTAAATTTTTAAAAGTGAGCTATCTAAAAAGGCGAAGTCCAATCCCAAGGCGATATGGCAGTATATAAGGTCTTTAACCAAGACAAGAACAATTATTGGTGATTTACACACCGATCAAAACGATAAGAAATCTGCAAAAACAGAAAGTCACAAGAAAAAAGGCGAATACATTATTAAACTATTTCCATAGCGTAGTGTCGTGAATTCGGTGTGTGTTTATTACACACCGTCACAACAAGTAGTTGTAACTGCTCTTAGCTTCTGAAATCAAATACAAGGTGGAGGAAAATCACTCACGTGTTGTTTGTTCAATGTCAAGATATTAAGAACCCGCGCCGAGATGTCACATCCAGGTTGTCGGCGCGGTTATCGGTCTAAGGGAGATACCAAAATTCACCACAGCAGTAAACAATAGCATGCAGGAAATGGTGATTAACATCGAGAAAACAGTTTCACGACCCTCCAGTTACTTGCAGTCTTAGACACGTAAACAGAAGCAATTGATCGTGGCAACTCAATTGACACCATATATATGGACTTTCAAAAAGCGTTTGATACAGTACCACAAAAGAATAATAGGAAAGCTAAAATCGTATGGTGTAACAAGCACAATTGTCAACTGGATCAAGGATTTTTGCACGATGAAGCACAGATTATCGGTAAACGGTAACATGTCTAACTGGGCAGACGTCACATAAGGAACGTCATATATAGGCTATTTAAATGCTGGAAAAATCAGGAAATATTATATAACCTTAAAGCACCGATCGAGAGCGGACTTCATGTTCGGTGCGATACAACGATCGAGTCTAGTGGAGAGGACCTATAGAGGTCCTATAGCTGCACTGGAAACTAACTCTAAGTACATATCAACAAAGAAGGTACCTTTACTTAACACGCCCGGCTGTTAAACGCGTAAGTGGCAATAACTTAAGATGTACCGTGTAACTATGAAATGATATTTAAATTTTGTATACGCTGTAATGTCAAGGTATAAGTCTATTGTGAGTAGTAAAACGAACGTGACCAAAACAAAACAGACAATGCAGTTCATGTCATTTTCCTGTATTGAAGTTGGTAATCATTCTGCCTATGAATCGCATCTTGAAGCAGATTTGATGCTTAATATTGATCACGATATAATTAATGTTAACTATATTATAACTTTCAAGCCACAAACTCTTAATCCCTCTGCGTCATTATATATATAATAAGCATGTTAAAATTCAACATTAAAATAATTGCTCAAAGTGTGATAAGAATAAAAATAGAATTAGGGTATATGATAAAGATGTACTTCCTATAGGGGGTATGTATATGTATCTTTTATGGGCTCTCATCAAAACGATCACTCACTTTTTGAATTGAGTACTTTATGAAAGAGCACTCACTTTCTGAATTGAATACTTTATAAAAGAGCACTCACTTTCTGAATTGAGCCATTCATAAAGAAACACTCGTAATTAAGTTTTTATTAACGAGCACTCATTTTCAGGATTGAGTATTATATAAACGAGCACTCACTATCTGAATTAAGTACTTTATAGACGAGCACTCACTATATAGATCGACTACTTGATAAACGAAACAACACTCACTTACATCGAGGACGGATTGAGTTACACCTAACAATATGCGCTCTACTTCTGACTTTGAAGGACAACTATGTATATACATGTCAATTGCATGCCTTTAATTTATTCCTGTGTACCACAGGGACTGTACTTGGACCCAATTACTGTTGTAGTTTTTTTTTACCAATAAATGATATAAATGCATCATTAAAATATTTACAGTTTAATAGTTTCTTATAAAAGTAAATGTTGTTTAAACTAGGTTTTCCCTACTTAATTTGGGAACAAGATGGCATTGAAGGTGTTTTGAGGCGTTTAAAATAGTGGCTATGTAGTTCAATCCTTGCATCAACAATCAGGGTTTAAGACAAGTACAGTGTAGCGTAAAATATAGCAAACATATAATTACAGTTGTAGGTTATTAATAAGAACAACACAACACATGTGTATGAGGTCTTACATAACACTTGTTTATTGTATAAAGCTACATATCCCCTCGTGTTCTACGGTCACTCGTGGATGTACAAGTACATACAAACATGAACACATGGTGATACGTTCGTGTCGTTTAATAAATTTTTGGTAAAACTCTTCAACTTACAACAACTCTGTATGCATTCAGCGTTTTAGAATATTTGAGATATTGTGTCAAACTTTGTTTTTTATTGTTATCTCATTCTCTTTACAAAATTATAGATATAAATCATTGTACAATCGAATCAGATAAAAATCAAAGACAGTTTGCTGAAATTTTGAAAACAAACTTTTGATAAATTTGCATGGATTCCTTAAAATTTAAACATTGCTAGTATTCATCAATTATCAAAACTTTAAAATATACGATATTTTATACTATCATATATATAAAGGTTACTTTAATTACAAAATGGATATATTCTGTTTATATACTAACATATATCTATAGATTACTTCATTACAATATAGATATATTCTGCTTTATATACTAACATATATATATATAGATTACTTCATTACAATATGGATACATTCTGTTTATATACTGACATATATATATAGATTACTTTATTAAAATATGGATATATTCTGTTTATATACTAACATATATCTATAGATTACTTCATTTTTGACGGCGTATACGGTATTATGAACGCATTTGACAACGAACATATTCTATGGTGTGCGTAAGCGCGCCATAAAGAAGAGCGAGGGTGTAATACATTTGCAGCTACAGACAACTTTATTAAACTTAAAATAAATTATTTGCTTGGTCTCAATTTCAGTATTACTTGGATTTTCTTTAATCGCTTGCCTTGGAAAGACTTGTTCAAACCAGTATTCAGACCTAATATATTAAGAATATCAACTGTGTCGGCTGTTGTCCGAGTCAAACATACAATATCAATTGAATTAGTTTAAAAAAAACATGGCATTGAGTTCTTCTTAGAATTCCACAAACATTAACTGGTTACATTTTAGTGATCCTGCTGTTAACGATCGATTTCCCCGTGTACAGTACCATCATTATCAATATCAGAATCAGAGTGTTTATTCCAGTGCACTTACCCTCCGCGCATTCTACCGAAAGTGTTATCGGAGTTATTCACCGGAGCGCTTATGCTCGTGTCTTCATTTAGCTTAACTATGTTTTAAATTGTAAATACTATGAAATTTACTAATTCATGTGTATTTATTTTATTATTATTTTTATCCATATTCATGCAATTTTACTGTAAATGTTTTATATCGTTAACATATACCAGAGGAAAATTGCGATTTGCCGTTTAGCGGATTCAACTCTAAATCACGCTGCGATGTGCTAGTCACTTGACGATGTCATTAAGGCAGCTTTTCAAAATGCCCATAGAGATAGAACAAATACTTCAAGAACCCCTTTTTGCAATGCATCAATACAAATAAATGATCACCCCTTATTCATCAAATCTTACATGGAAAGTGGAATATTCGCCATGGCTAACTTATGGGACAAGCAAAGAAATACATTTTTTAGATAAAAAAAACTATTTTAGAAAAACTCTTAAATAGGTGTAATTGGAAAGCAGACATTTTTTAAACTAGAAAGGCCATCCCATCCAATTATACACAAGTGTTAAGAAGGGAAACCCATATCCCACCATCACAGAAAAAAACCACACAACTTAAAAATCAACAAAAACTTGAAAATATACTTCCAATCGAATAAACTGATTGAACCGAGAAAACTTAAATTATCAGAAATACAGAAAATTTTAAAAAATAATACAACTTTAAGACCAAAATGTGTAATTAAATGGGAAGAATATTTTGGAAATGAAATAGAAGGGAATCAAATATGGAATAATGCGAAGGATAGCGCAATAACTAATACAATCAAACAATTTCAGTGGAAATGTGTACACAGAATCATATACAAAGAACACAAATTACAATTAATGAACAGATCCGACGGACTGTATCATTTATGTCAAAACACCCCAGAAACCCTCAATCACCTGTTTTATCAATGTCCCTTTGCTACTAGTATAATCAATATAGTACAGGGAACATTTTTGACCAGCTACCGGACATGGATGAGGACAAAATGATATGTGAAGAGAGTATGATGCTAAGAGTATACAAAACAAGTACAAGCTATGGTGTGATGAACTCTGTTATATTCACACTAAAATACTACATATGGAAAGGTAGGAATATAAAAAAAAATATCAAGATAAGACAACCACTATAGAATCAACTATTGTTATATTTTAAGAAATGTTAAAAAGTAGTATAATACTTCACTTAAAATCTAGCAATAAAACTCAACTTCAAGATTTAAAAAATGCATTAGAGCATTAAAACTGCTGTTTATAAGCTATCAAACCTATTTCTTTTCGTGAAGTCTTGTGAATCGAAGAGAAAAAATCATCCTACCCACGAACGTAAAATATTTTGAACTAGTTCCAGTAACAAATCGGGAGAATATTGTGATTTTTGACTGCCACCATCGTGAGTAAAATCGGCAATTTGGAATGTCAACGAACAAATTGACGAAGTTCATTTCCAAGCCACAACCCATCCCAATTGGAACAAGACGCAGACACCAGTGATTGCATCGGACAGCAAGGAAAAAATATCTCGAGCGGTGCTGTAACAGCAAACAGGATCGAGAAATCATGCTGTGTAATAGAAGCGGAAGCCGCTTTGAAAACGGTTACGGTTTGACTAGAGTGCATTCAAAGAGAAAAACAAAATCTTGGGACCAATCTGGCTATAAATATGGAACCTATGATTTCACTAACAAACAGGGGAAATACATCTCACTCACTCAGAAGCTAAGACGATTCAACCATCGTCAAAAAGACTGCAAACGTGAAATCAGAAAGGCGGATATGTAAACGATGTTATACAAGAGGGACTAGATCAGAACTCTAAACTATCCTGGAAATATGTAAAATCAAAGAAACAGGATATCATGGGGATGGCAGCACTAAAATCACAGGGCGCACTTGTCAACAACAGTAAAGAAAAAGCACAAATTTTACTGAACCAATTCTTTTCTGTATTCACCCGTAGTAACAACAACATCAAGCCAAAATCACGTATAAACATAAACCACTCGATTCCTAATCTAAATATTAAGCAAAGCTCCCTACGAAACCTAAATCCTTCCAAAGTTTCGAGACCAGATAACATTCCAAATCGCAATCTAAAAGAATGCAGACCATATAACACCCTTTGTGACACAAGACCACACTAACAACCGGTGAGCTACCAGTAGACCTGCTAAATGCAAACATTTCCTGCATCTTCAAAAAGGGAGACAAGCACTCGGCAGAAAATTATCGTCCGGTATCACATACATCAGTACCATGTTAAATTCTAGAACGCATAATATGTAAACATATATCAGACCATCTGGACAGACATAGGGTATTTACATCACTGAACCATGGCTCCCTCAGGATACTCCTGTGAAACACAGCTCATTACTCCTTTTGACGACCTACTAAGATCTTTAGACCGTGGCAAACAAGTGTACATGGCAATACTTGACTTCTCAAAGGCCTTTGACACAGTAACCCCACAAGCTAGAGTCATATGGGATTAGAGGACCCCTGCAACAATGTCTGAAAACCTTCCTAACTCGCAGGAAGATGCGGGTAGCCATAAAGGGAGAACTCTCTGAAGAGGCCACTGTTGAGTCAGAAGTACCACAAGGAACAGTACTAGGACCCCTACTCCTTCTTTGCCACATACATGACTTACCAGATTCTGTGAAATCAACAGTTAGACTTTTCACAGATGACTGCCTACTCTATCGATAAATAAACTCAATCAAGGACCACGAAACACTTCAAGACTACCTTAAACAACTCGAGACTTGGGCTGCAAACTGGGTGATGAAATGTAATGCCAAACCATTTTACATTCTTTTTATTAAGAAGAAAAAGCAAAACACATACCAGCTTAATGGACACAACTTAGATCACGTACAGACAAACCCATACCTAGGATTACAGCTATCAGGGAATATGAAATGGAAAGAACATATAGCAAGTACTACAAAAAAGGCCAGTTCTACCTTATGCTTCCTAAGACACAATCTACAATATTGTCCAAGAGAATGTAGAAATACATTGCTCTTGCCAGATTCATCTCGGAATACGGAGCAATAATTTTTGACCCGTACATAAAGACAAATATTTACAAATTGGAAAGTATTCAACGGAGAGGAGCGCGTTTCATTCAGAAGGACTACAGAACAAGGGAAGATAGATTCATGACAGAACTTTTCAGAGATCTACAACTTCCATCACTAGCATCAAGATGAAAACAAAGAGATTAACATTCTATTATAAAATCGTGGAGCGGCAAATTCCATCAATGCCAAGCAAAGACTTTATTCATTTCCAGCGTGAGAAAAGGAAAACACGGCAGCGTAAATTCCAGGACTGCGAGACATCCAGACCAATTCCAAATTCAATCAGGAACAATAATAGAGCAGTCATAATACCTAACAGCAACACCGAACAATACAAAAACTCATTTTTTGTGACAACAGCCACAGATGGGAACCACCTGGACGACATCACAGTCGGGCACAAGAAAAAGAGGCATTTAAAGCATGAATCCCTACCAACTGGGATTAACCGAAGCTAAGCATCGCGTGCGTACTTAATCCCCTTCGCATTTAAGCTATTTTGGTCTCTGTGGAGTATAATATAGATAGATGCATACATTTAAATCGCAGATCTTTTTAATAAATAAATAAAATCTACAACACATGTTAAATCGCGCTCTGTTAATCTGGATTAAGACAATCTTAAACTATTTACATTCCATATATGTTATACGTTTCAAAATAATTTGAGACAGTGACAAACATGATGGAAATGAAAGGGGTGCAGTATATTCTGTTAAACTGTGAGACCATTGAAACGACGTTTCAATGCTAAGGCATTACCACTCAGACCCACACCCAGACTATTTCGTACTCCGATTGAGTTGTTGTGTGCAGTATAAAAATACTGTACATTTTAAATCACTGGGTCATGTACTAGTCACTTGATAATGTTATTAAGATAACTTTTCAAAATGCAAATTTAGAATTGATGTCTCAGAACTTTTAAATAAATAAACAAAATATACAACACATTTTATAGCGCTCTGTAAATCCGGAATAAGACAATCTTAAACTATTTACATTACATATATGTTATACTTTTCAAATTAATTTGTGAGACCATGGCCGCTACGACATTTCAGTGCTAAAGCATAACCACTCGAAACCGACCCCGAACTATTTTGTACTCCGATTGGGTTGTTGTGCGCATTATAAAAATACTGCACATTTTGTCCTGACACGATTTCGAGGATCAAAACCAAGCCATTTGCTCGGCTGCCAATAAATCTGCTATTCGACCATATATACATGGAAGATTTAGTAATAAGTATTAGAGTAAAGAGTCAAATTACATTGAATTATAATGTTATCACGCTCCAGCTATATTGTAGTACGTTATAAAGGATTTTTATGACAGGTTTTGTGTAGTTTTGGTATGATAATTCAAGGACTCGTGCATTTGTTTACAGTCTATGAAATCAACTGTTATAAGATACATATTGTAAAAGTAGGGGTCGTAAACGAGAGGGTGAGTAATACCTGATAAGATTCTGTAGATTATAAATCGAAACTACAATACAATGTAAGAGTTACGTCCCATGTCCCATTGACATCTTAGCTCGATCTGTATATGCTTTTCTATCACGAGTCACGCTAGTTTCTCGCCGTTGTGTGATCTTTTTGTGCATAATAAATCCATAATCTGTATCACTGTTCATGATGAAGAAAAAACGAGAGAGTCTTATGAATAAGATGCATGCTAATTTTGTGAAAATTGTAATTAGAAATATTGCTCTCATTAGACTTCAATGATATACTATGCTCGTAACTCTGTTAACATCGTGTGTAGACTACAGCAGTAAATCTACAGGGATGTTGACACTCTCAACAGTCCTCAGTGTAACTCCGATAACTTTATGTGTAGACTACAGTAGTTAATCTTCAGGGATGTGGACACTCAACAGACCTCAGTGTAACTCTGACAACATCGTATGTAGACTACAGAAGTTAATCTACAGTGATGTGGACACTCCACAGATCTCAGTGTAACCTTGATAACACCGTGTGTAGACTACAGTAGTAAATCTGCAGGGATGTTGACACTCTCAACAGTCCTCAGTGTAACTCCGATAACTTTATGTGTAGACTACAGTAGTTAATCTTCAGGGATGTGGACACTCAACAGACCTCAGTGTAACCTTGATAACACCGTGTGTAGACTACAGTAGTAAATCTACAGGGATGTTGGCACTCTCAATATACCTCAGTGTAACTCTTACGTCCACCAATTCATGGTTGTACACCCCAAACACCGGCCACAGTGGCTGTGACGTATCTACTCCGCCGATCTTTGTTAACAATGTGTTGTTTACAACATCCACAAAGCTGATAGTTTTACTCAATGTGTTTATATTGACACCAATCCTTATATCAGCTGTTGTACCTGCTTTGCTGGAAAGTGATTCTCTGGTGAAGATTTCGTCATTATTATTCCGACATTCAAGTGTTGTACTGTTCCTGTTTCTACCACTAGTGCGAGCTTAGAGAATCGATTTACCATGCTTAGTTTCCCCTATGCAATGACAGCTGTCCATTTCCTTTTCCCAAACTAATCCAACTTCAAACACAAGGTTTCTACCAGTTAAATATTTAATGATTTTGTAGTGCACGTCTACCTCATAGTAAACATTGTCGGGGGGTGAGACAGACCTAGACCCATTCACACCTTTATATTTCTGCAGGGCGTGTCCTCCAGTCGGCCAGTCGTGAGAGTAGAGCTGTTCATCGATCTGTCCGTCAGGTGGGGGAGGATGTCGGGTGTTAAACAGAGTCATCCGGTCTTCTGACAGGTAACACGCCTTGTATAAGGTGTCCTCGTCCATGTGCATGGTCAGGTCTGTCAAAATAAATCATATAGAGATAAAGTTAGACATTTATATATTTGTCTGTGAGTATGTATAACTTTAGCAGATCAAGTCTATCTTTACATGCAAGATTATCATAATCATGCTGAGATACATACAATGATACAAATATATTAATAAAATATGTGGTTTTATACAAAAACAATACAATAAAAATAAAATGAAAAAAGGGAATGGCTACAACATCGTACAATATATATATATGATCTTACGTGAGTTTCCATGTCATTAGAGAATTATCAGGAGAAACGTTTCGGGTCGAGTGACATAAACAAATACTCAATCATAGCTTGTCAAAGGGACCAGTCGGTCTTGAAACATTGCGATACGTGTAATACGTACATTGTTTGTGTAGAAAGTAAAACTTTGATATCACATATTTCCAAACTGTTGAATCCTATTGAAGATATGAGTTTAATAATTTTTCGTTTTTGCGAGCCTCTGGCGAGCTAAAATGAAAACTTCGTTACGAGTTTCATAAATCTCACATAATGACATGGAAACGAAATACTATCCTTTTATTCATTAAAATAGTTAGCTTTGACATGACAGAACAATACCATCAAAATGTAGGTCAGATCTATTTTCGCTGTAACAATTAGTCAGAAATAATTTGCAGCTGGAATGCTGAGACAATTCTTCACAAAGAGATATTTAGTGCTGACTGATACCTAACGATTTTGAGACAAAAATATGTTATTGCTACCCTGTATATATTTACTTTTGATTAAGTGTCTGCTTTCTTTAATACTATCCTTGTGTGATAATTTTATTTTACATTAAAAGACAAACCAGAATTCCATTTTTACCAACTACTTCTTAGAGCACATGTAAAATTACATTCAAAACAACTCGTCTATGGTCACGTAAATAGACTTTTAAACTAAGTCTTGAGAATTGTACTTTTGAGTAGCGATTGAGTTTACCACGGGCATGTAGTGTCACAGTTGCACAGCATCTTACTACTGGCTAAAGGAAATTTCAGATCAATTGTTTTCCATGCACGGTATATGCAGTAAACTTTAATATTACAGTTCTGGAAAATTACATTTGCTAGCAATACTGCAATTAATTAAAGCTACAAACTGAGCTTTGGCACAGGAGAAGCATTACACGTATAAGTGGTACTGAAATCACGGTCAGATCTCGACAATGACAATAAACGCTGAATATGTCGATGTTGTAAGCTCTGACATAACGTCAATAATTGAATTAAGATAACATACATTCGATTCCGTCAGTTTTCTTTGCGGGAGGAGGAGGCGTCTTCCTGTAAACAAAAGGTAAACGTTAAGATTACTGGCCAGTAAAAACAAGAGATACCATGGAGTAGAGACAAAAAGGAAATGTCGGAATTCATTGTCGAATTAAAAATATAACCACACTAACCAAACCAAACAGGAATGTATCCTTACAAGCAGACTTGCTATTAGCTACTTAACTTTTGTTAACAGCTGCTCAGCTGTATCTGTCTACAAGCTTATCATAGATGCAGCAAATTAAATAACGACGAGGAAAATCATTATTGCCATATATAATTAGCTTTCTAGCGAAAGCGGCTAATCTGTTTACCTTCGAAAATGACGGAGTGGACGTCAACATGTTGGCTACTCTGGTTTAATGACGAAATATAACCATTATAATATACATTACGGGATGACAGAGGTGTATAATTACCTCAGTTTACAGTCTACTGTTAAACACCGACGTCATACATAGGAGTCTGTAGAAATATAATGTATTTATGATTAGTTTCAACTTCCAGGTCATTTGTATAAAAACGTATTTCTGGTAACCTCTTTTTTTAACGTGATTGTCGGCATTAAACGTTAGAAGAAATAATGAACGCATAGTTACCCTCCAGTTTCTTTCATTCCTGGTCGTCTTTCAGTTGATGCTTTTTTTTCGAAAGAAGACATAACAGATTTTAGTTGTGTCACTCAAGATTTATATCATCTGATTTATTGTTTAATTGAATTACATATGTTCATGAAAATATTCCATTTCGTTTCATTTCAACAGATTTTATTGAAATGGTGTTTTGGTCAAATGGATCGAATAACAGGCAAGCCTATATAAATTCTTTCCATAGTTGGCTAGAGTGTTTCAAGAATTTTATAGTACTTTAGCTAAATATGTTTTATAGATATTTTGAAATGAAAAGATATAAATGTAAACGATAAAGTAATTAAAGGGAGGTAACTCACTTTTGATTACTTACAATACAACATAGGACATACACGCACAGACACACACACACACAAACAAAACATAAATATAGTTATTAATTATCATAATTACACGTGTACACATGTGTTACTATTTAACATTCGATATAGTTAAGAAGATAGACCAAAGGTCCATGTGCAAGTACTGCACAGGTCATCACCACCTAAACTGTGTATGAATTTATTTATATGTAACTATTTAATCTACTATTTAGTATACAGAATTAACCCGATATGAACATTTATCAAAAGGTAAAAGCTCTGTAGTAGAGCACAAAATAAACAAGTGAAAATATTTATTACATAATCAAATGAATTCACAGCCATGTTCAACTGATTTCATAGAAAATTACAGTTTTTGTCAATATCAGGGCTTTCTAGATCTTGTAAAAGTTAAAACGTTTGGATTTCCCGATAAAGTAAGGTATATCACGAAACATTAGTCTGTTTGTATAACCTTTGCACAACTAGGACAGTCATGTAAAATAATGTCGATACCGATATGGTTATGGTCAAAGGCATAATTACTGAGTGAGTTGAACAAATTAATCCACAAATCATAGTAAATAGGACAACGTGGAAAAAATTGAGAGACTGTTTCCAATTCATCTGAACAAGTACATACTGGACTATCAGTTAGGTGGTCATGATGCAAATCAAACTTTAAATCACTACAATAATTTCTAAGTTGGGAAAGAATAATGTTTGCCCTTCTATCACCTTCAGTTTTGAACATTTTACAGATTCACTATCAGTTCTAGTATTTTTATCTAATCACATTGAAATTCTCGTTTTGAAAAAAATGTGATTATTTGTTTTATTATGTTTGTTTTTGTTTTACAAAATAAAAAAAAATCTGAACAAGGTTAAAAACAAACATGCATATGTAAAATTGTAATAGAAGAAGATAACTATTATTTGTCGAATTTTTTACAAGTTTGAAAATATGAATCTGTATATCTTCCCCTCCCCGCTATGCTAATTTACTATTTTAGACATTAGATTAATAAATCTAGCAAGAGCGCTTTACTGGTAATGTGTAGTTCCGTGTTCGATTGCTTGTTGACTAATAAGGATAAAAATGACCTCAGTTGCTTCGTTACAGACTCGGCTATAGAGAATAACTCTTTAGCTCAATCGGTTACATATATAGCTCAATAAATAAGATGAGAGAATGATTCTGATACAGCTTGGAAATGACTATTGTCAGCTACAACCAGACCTCGACATTAACAACTGAATTGACACTGAACCAATTAACATGGTGGCATTGTTAGTTCTTACAATATGTCTATAGAGTTGAATTAAGGTAACGTACTTTCTATTCCGCCAGTCATCGTTGCGGGAGGAGGCGTCTTACTATGAATAAAAGGTAAAAGTATAAATTACCGGCCAGTAATAGTGAAAAATGCCATACGTTGACGACAAAAGGGCGAAGACGAAATTCGATCACTTTTCAACAGGACAACATAAGTAATCGAAACAAAGGAAACGACTTTTTTATCCTTACAAATAAACAACTAGCTGCTAGGGTTTTGTAAATAAATGTCCTGCTGCATTTTTCTACTTATCTACGCCAAATCTAAAAATCGGATCAAAAATGTAAAAGTTTCATCTTTTCCTCATCAATTTAACACTTTATCATCGTTATGAATTATTGAAAGTTTCGGCGTTACTGAAAAGACCACAACCACTTATATACAGTGACATTCGATAGTTATTAATACATGTCTATATTGTACTCGGGGAGATTGGGATTATGTTACTCTCAAAATCGCAATTATTTCTCTTTTGTAAAACAAAACAAAAACCAGTGGAATTGTTCAACCTTCTGTGCGTACCTATTACTTACCGTTATATATCTCACTTAACTTTAATCGAAGTCCAGTTTAGTAACATATATATATATATATATATGTAATACATTTTAAACAGATACGCCATACTGGCCAATCATTATCTTGTCATCGTTTTCTATCTGAGAGATTCAGCATCAGATAGAAGTAAAGTTTACGTTTAAAATACTTCCGGTGGGTTGAAATGGACGGACGTCACCAAAATGTCCAGTAAGAAATAATGATTTTGTGATTCCTCCATCTATATTACGGAGCTTGGACTGTACACGGTTATTATGGACAGTGTTTCTAGACAAACTGCAGGTATTTAATGTCTTTCCACTTGCCAAGCATTGTTTTATCATTAATTAACATTGACGCTCCATGACCTGACCAGCGGTCACCCGACGCCATCTTTATCTCTCATTCCGACTCGCTGAAAATTTTGTTACTTTACCCCTCTATTAACGTATCATTCTACACTTTCCACAATGAACTCTGATATTCTCGCTAGTGTTGCCAATATCAATGAAATCAAAGACCCCGAAGTTATAAGTGAAGTCATTGAAAAACTCATGAATAACAGTCTATTCAAGGAGTCATTACTATCCAGCCTAGGAATACCGCAGCTCTATCGCCAGATAGCCGAGCTTGAGTCTCGGCTAGACGACATGGAACAGTACTCCCGCCGTAACTGTCTCAAGTTCCGGGGCATCCCTGAGTCCAACCACGAGGACACCGATTCGCTTGTTATTAATTCATGTATCGAACAACTTGGAGTCCATATCGATCTAAACGACATAAGTAGGTCGCATCGGGTCGGCCCCAGATCGTCACTACACCCCCGCGATATTATCGTCCGGTTCCTCTCCTACAGAATCAGAGCCCAGATATACGAAGCTAGGTTCTGTCTCTTCAAGAAACCTGTCGCAGATGACCAGCCTCCAGCTGAAACCCAGCCCTCCTCGGTCGTGAACCCATCTACCACCTCGCCCAAATCTCTCGCTCACCCAGCTCTACCGAAACTTTTTCTAAATGAGGCCCTCACCAGCCAGCGTGCCAAGGTTTACGCCAAGGCACGGTTTCTCAAGAGCAGGAAACTCATCAGCAGCACCTGGACCACAGACGGCAGGATTATAATTCGTAGCAACACCGGAGAAAAGGCTACTGTCACTACCCTGTCCGAATTATCCTCATACCCTGATCCACCTATCCGCCAAAATCGAACTGGCTCCAAACCCTCATCTGCTGAATTCCTCACTCCTAGACGTACTTACACCAAATTCAGAAACCAGTCCACCGCCAGTACAGCTGTTTCCAACCTGTTCACCCCTCTGCCAAAGGAATAAAGTGTTTACCATGTGTTTACCATATATTCTCATCATGTCGTTTATAGTGTTTCATAAGTAGTCTATAACTATATTATTCCATTATCTCCCAATTTATACATATATTAATTGATATTCACTCGAGCTAGAAGATACTAGGGAGAAATGAGTACTTTTGCTATCAGCTTTTTTATTGTACTACATTATCTTATGTTGATATACACACAACCAGAGACATACCATCAACCTCCCCTCCATGTGTGTCATGTATATATATTTATTTATATGAAAAACAAATATATTTTGTGTACAGACGTACATGTACCTTGATTTTTCTAAAAGGTATGCATGAGTTGTAATTTCTAGTCTGTATCCATTTTTTTCTCTCTCATATATCCAAACATGCATGACACATATGTCCATGCCCATTGCATGATGAGTGTGTATATTACATGTTTATGAGAAGTTTATCAAACCAATCTTGCTAAAATTAATAAATCTAAACTTATGCTAAGTCTACATCCTTGATCAAAATAACAATCCATAGCTCTCGATCACTTCTATGATAAACCATGGCTACAACCCATAAGAATGTACCCCCCTTCCTAGTGTAATGCAATATTATTTGTATACTAAATGAATGTTTTATCAATGCCAGATGACTATCGGCAACCCAAAGGCCTATATAGTAGTTTCAACGTATACTACGGTATATATATGTAGTACTGACAACCATATATGTCAACCTTACTTTAGAATACCAGTGTACATGTGGTGTGTTACTTTACCTGTCCGATTCTCCTTGGTATCTATTTATTAGATACATTTCCTATCCAGGTTACCGAATCGTAATCAATGCTAATCCTGATTGTCGACCAATAGTAGTAGCAAACTCTTTCATAATCACTGTATAAGAGCTGACATATCCCTTGCATTAGTGTAACTGACATTCTTCTGTTTTGACTAGCATATATATGTCCTGCCATCCTTGCAACAATACTAGATCAGTCTCATGTGTACAGCAACTACTTTTAGTGTCATTCTTACCTTATTAATCATTAAATATTAGTAAGGTTATCTAACATCTCTCAATATGTATCATGCATTTTCTCAGTCTTCCCTCGTGGTTAAATCCATTGTTTTTAAAGAAAATCCTCAATGTTTACAAACAATTCATGGTCTGCTGCCCAAACTGAAAAGTCATCTATTCATCGACCCACGTGCGTATGTTATGTGTCGCGCGCAACCACGCGTGATTACAAGCACGGTATCCTAAATATAACCACATGTAAGAATACACCATAGCTAATCTTGTGTTATGGACTATATCAGCCTGGTGTTATATCCTTGTTAAGCTCATTACCAGGAAAATGTACTCGATAACTTATTCACATACTACTTTAGGCGTATAATGTTTAAGCCACTAAGAGATTGTACAAAGTCTTTATCATAGAAATGTTTGTATTAAATACGATTGTATTATAGTATAAAAAGCTTCTGTATAACAGCGAGCTTTGTTTACACCATGTGTTGCGTCTGATGGAGGAACCTTACGATTCCTCCACCTATATAGATATCATGTATGTATTTTTGTTACCTACTATGTATCCCTTCTTAGAAACCCTATATCCCCTTCCCAAACCCTTGCTTAACAATCATATGCCAGCCATGGATGTATTCTTGCCGGATCACAGACTCGGGTGCCTTTTGAAACAGCTCCAGATCTTAATCTTTGTCATTTTTGACAATGGGTAAGTTCTCTCTTGTTTCAATATCAAGGGCACTTGAGTCTGTTCATTTACTTTCATCATGTGTTTCATCCCTATATTTATATCGCCAGGTATGTATGCTGCCAAAACAATGCCACCCTTACCTAAACAACAGCCTAATAACTTTAATATTAAGTAGTTATGTAGATTGGAATAAGCTATCATGTATATACATTATCATGCTCATGTTATTGACAGTATCGTCTGATATAGAGGAAAACCCTGGTCCCTTAGGAAATCTAGATATTGTCCATTTGAATTCTCGATCTATACGTACTAAAACTGACTTAATTGAAGCTGAACTAAATAACAATGACATTATTTGTATCACTGAGTCGCATCTTAAACCTGAAATCCCAAACAGTGATATTATTATTGATTCTCATTCGATAAATCTTCATAGAAAAGACAGACTTAATAGACAGGGAGGTGGTGTACTGGTTTATTATAAAGATTCTGTTTTAACCAAAAAGAGACATGATCTTGAAATAGATGATACTGAGCTACTATGGTTGGAAGTAACTATCAATAAACATACATTTTTATTAGGCTGTCTATACAGGCCTCCTGATTCAAATGTTGAATTTTGAACGAAACTTGATGGCATACTTGAAAAAGCATCAGACCTTTCTCTAGATATTTTATTAGTAGGGGACATTAATGTTAATCTTCTTTCTCTTCAACCAACTTCCCACCAATCAAGACTTCTTTCTAAATTTAACTTATACAATCTAATAAATGAACCCACACGTATTACACCAGAAAGCTCTAGTTGCATCGACTTTGTATTTACAAATAATAGAAATATTATTAGAGGTACACATGTAGGCGATCCATTTTGTAGTGATCATTCTCCAGTACATATTAGTATATCATATTGTGTATTTAAGCAAAACTCTTATATAAAGAAAATCTGGCAATATGACGCTGCTGATTTTAATCAAATGAATGAATGTCTACTAAATATGGATTGGCAACAACTAGCTAACCAATCCGATTCGAATGAATTTAGTATCATCATAAATAATGCAATCACCGAGCAGATGGAAAGATATACACCATGTAAAACTATTACAGTAAGACCAAATGATAAATCTTGGATGAACCATAATATCAGAACTAAAATGAGGCAAAGAAATAGAATTCATAAAAAGGCAAAAGTAACCAATAATCCCGATCACTGGACGCGCTTTAGAATAATTAGGAATGAAGTAATCAGCCTTATTCGAGAAGCAAAATCTAATTTCATTGTTAAACTTCAAAATTCTCTTGATGATAAAAATATACCCCCTGATAAATGGTGGAAAATAGCTAAAACCATTTTAAAATTTAACAATAAGTCATCCACTATTCCCCCCCTGGAATCAAATGGTGAATTTTTTTATCACCCGAGTGAAAAAGCTGCCTGTCTAAATAAATACTTCACTTCTATCTCATCTTCATCTAACAACCTTGAACTTCCTGATGATGTAATTGTGGAACTTCCTTACTCCATATCAAATATTCAAATAACTAGTCAGGATGTCAAAGATCAGTTAGAAAACATGAATGAAAAAAAACCATCTGGACCTGATGGCTTAGTTCCTAAAGTTGTTAAAAAGTTAACACCATCTCTTATTCTGCCACTTAAACTATTATTTAACAAAACTTTAGACTCTAGTCTTCTGCCAAATTCCTGGAAAATGACCAATGTTAATGCTATTTTCAAAGGCAGTGGCTCTAGGAGTAATACTGCTAACTATAGACCAATTTCTATTACCTCTTGTATTTGTAAACTTATTGAAAAGATTTTATTTAAATACCTATACAACTATCTTATATCAAATAACATTTTATCGAACAATCAGTCCGGCTTTAGACCCGGTGACTCCACTGTAAACCAACTATTATCTATTTATCATGAAATATCAAAAAATTTAGACACAGGTAAAGAAGTTAGGTTTGTATTTTGTGATATAAGCAAGGCCTTTGATAGGGTTTGGCATACAGGTCTTGTTAAAAAATTAAGTAATTATGGAATCAAAGGTAAATTATTATCTTGGATCCATAATTACCTTTCTGACAGGAATCAACGAGTAAGTACTGAAGGTTTCTATTCCCCATACTTAACTGTTAATGCAGGAGTCCCCCAGGGATCAGTTCTGGGTCCATTATTATTTTTATTATATATAAATGACATTACTGATCTTGTTTCAAGTAAAGTAAAACTCTTTGCTGATGATACCTCTCTATATGTCATTGTTGATAACAATCCTGATCAGTCTGCACAACTTCTTACAGATGATTTAAAACATATTAGTGAATGGGCTAAACTATGGGATGTAAATTTCAATCCAACAAAAACAAAATCTGTATTATTCTCCAGGAAAAAAGAAGTTGCTTTACCACCAATTTTATTTCAAAATGATGTAATTTCTAATGAATCCACTCATAAACACTTAGGTGTAACTCTTAATGAAAATGGTACCTGGGAATCCCATATACAAACTATTTATGAAAAAGCATATACTAGAATAAATATACTACGCTGTTTGAAATATAAACTTAGCAGAGAAACTCTTATAAAAATATATTTTGCATTCATAAGACCTTTACTTGAATATGCTGATGTAATTTGGAATAATTGTACAACCCAACTAAAAAAATTACTAGAATCTATCCACCTGGAAGCAGCAAGAATTATAACAGGGCTGAGAAGAGGAACATCACATCACTTACTTTATAGGGAATTAGGGTGGGAACCATTAGAAATTCGTCGGAAAAATCATCAATTGATATTAATGTACAAAATACTACATGGCCATGCACCTTTATACTTGCAAGAATCAATCATCCCTTTTATTAACAATAATGAAGCAAATATACATTCATTGCGTAGAAATAGAATATTTAGCCCTCCACTCTGTAGATCAAACAACTACTATCATAGTTTTTTTCCTTCAATGCTCCGCGAGTTTAATAAACTCTCACCTACTACAGTACAAGCAACCTCCCTTAACATTTTTAAGAAACTTATAAACATGTCAAATATCAGTGAAGAGGAAGATGTGAGCGTTTCAAATGTATTCAAAAATAAAGGATCAAGGAAGGGTAATATCATACTTTGTCAACTTAGAAATGGATGTAGCAACTTAAATTTTGACCTATATATTGATCATTTAAAAGATAATCCTGTGTGTTCTTGTGATTTAAACCATGAAACTGTCTCACATTTTTTTCTTCACTGTCCTCTGTTTTCAGTCCAAAGAGCATTACTAAAAAATGAACTTGAACTTATTGGAAACCATAACCATTTTCATCTCACCAACTTACTATATGGCTGTCAAACATGTAACGAAGGTGTAAATATGGAAATTCTTAGCTCTATCCTAAAATATATAGTTAAAACTAAAAGATTTGTTGAATATCGAGTATAATACCAGGCAACTTGACACATTTTGAGTTAATATATATACACATGTATATATATTTGTAGATAATAACACTTATTTATAAAAACAACATCCATTCGTACAGGAGTGCATCTCTGGCTGGTTATCGTGATATTGTTATGCTTTCCTTTTATATTCTCCCATACTACTTATATCTTTAATTTTTAGTGTACATACTTTAGATCTGCAATTTTTCCATATATGTACTCAAATGCATTACTGTGAATTATACCGCAATAATATTTACTATGGATCCTGTACAGTGTTCAGTTGAAGACCTAAACGTAACACAAGGACTGTGCGGTCTTCAATCTGATATTAAAGCTTGTATACTACATGTATATGCGGTCTATAACCAATATATATATATATATTTTACCTACATTGTATATTGCAGACCAAATCTAATTAATACACTATTCTATGGGAGTTATCCCCCTTCCCCCACCCACACCATATTTTATATAATAACCTCTTAATTATGTAAATATCTAATTAGATTTACAAACGTTAATTTTTGACAGTAAGCAAAATCTTATTATTATAAAATCAATCCATTATGTCCATATACCTACCATCAATGGAGAGGACTTATATAGGCTATAAGCCTGTTGTCCAATCCTTTTGACAGTGTAACATTCTTCTATGTCAATAAAATATGTTGAAATCAAAAAAAAAAAATATTTGTTATATCACTAATAAGATAATAACGAAGGATGATAGAGGTGTATATTTATTTCAAATTACAATATGCTCTATCTCAACACAGAGGTCTTTAACATAGGAGAGCAGAAGTGTATGTATTTCTGATGCCTCTCTCGTCAACATGAGTAAAGTACCATATAATTACCTCCCGGTGTCTTTCTGTTCTGGTCTTCCCTCAGCTGAAGCTTCTGTAAAACAAACGACATGTAACATGTATTAGGTACGCCAAGCAAGGTACATTAAAACCGTTTGATAGTGATCAAGTATACCTATTTTCATATAGCAGGAGTCAGACACGTTCAGTAATATGCCTACTGGTGGGAGGAATTTATAACCATGCCTATACAAACGTTAAATAAATATCTTTCTATTCAGACTGGTAGCGTCTAGTGTCTACATGCTGATTAATGATTTAGTCTTTAACCATGGCCCGGGAACAAAATAAAAACCAAAGGGGTAATATACAAGGAATCTCACTATTAAGTTTCAACGATTTAGAATATAGATATATATACCAAAAACATTTACCTTTTTTAACCGGTCGTGCCTTTTCGACATCTATGTTTATTACTGGTAGTTCCACTTTGCCCTCAAAAGCAAACCCCTGTATCAAGTGCTGACCTTCGGTTGTAGGTGTCCACGCTGCTCTACACTGACCTCCATACCGTTTTACACAATGTGTATCTAAGGCGTTTCCATTTGGTGGTTTGATCCTGACCAATATGTCAACGTTGTCATCAACCAAGAGATTCTTGTCGTGATCAAACAGCTGGACATGGATATCGTTTCTCTTGTTTACTTCTGGATCAGCATCATGCACGTTGACTATGGTGTTTGGGGGGAAGAGTGAACTAGTTGCAACACTGCCTAAGGTTTGCACGAAGCTTGAAAAAATGGTGGCCATATTTTGTTTGATGTATTCCATGTGTGCTGTTTGGAAAGGTATGTGCTCCGTTTCCTGGTTTAGCATGACATGAAACTTGTTTCGAATGGTTGGTGCTATAATGAGGAATCCAGCAGGGTTTTCAGAACTTAATGACTGCTCAAGGAATTTACAGTCGGTCCGCATACAGTCGATGTAAGAGGAAAGAGATTCAGCCTGCTCTGTAAGTACCTTTCGTTTCTGTTCTGACTTTTCTTTGATCAATCCTCGCTGGTCTTGTCTTCGTCTCTCCAGCAGCTCCGCACATATGTTGAAGGCTACATTAAGCTCCTCTTCCGACTTCTTCTCATTATGTATAAGCTTTCGTATTGTTCCGTTCACATTCTGAGCAATAAGGGTTGCTTCGTCGACCTTGTTTTGTAAAGATCTGGATAGCTCCAATAGTTGAGCCTTTTCTGTGCCATACACATCAGTAATTCCTTTAACTGTATGCTCTTTTTTGTCGCTGTGGTTTAAGACATAACAACTATTGCATATCGGAGATGCACAATTCTTTCCGGAACAATAGTAAAGCAACTTTTCCTCTGTATGGATCTCGCAGTACTGTTGATGGACATACCGTGATACGGTGTCTGCATTGCCAGGTTTCTGCTGTAGATCAAAAACTGTATGCCTTCCCATTACTTTTTACACTGTGTAATGGGCTTCAAGGCACTTTATGCAAAAAAAACTAGAGCAGTCCTGACATCTATGTGATGCTATTTCGTGTTTGTCACAAACTTCACACTCGACAGTTGAGACGCTAGTAACTGCCCGAACAAAGTCTAAAAGATCCCATCTTGTTCTATCTACTGGAACACTTTCGAGGTTGGCAATTTTATGTTCTATCTTGCATATGGAGCAAGAAACATTATCGTTTTTATAAGTATTTGATAGACATATGTTGCAGAATGTATGAAGACAAGGAAGAAGTCTGGGTTTTCGGTCTGTTTCATCATACTCGTTCATGCAGATTGAACATTCCAGAAAATCCTTTTTAAGTTTTTTGATTTTCTCAACTTCATCGACATAATTTTCCGCCATTGCATCTGCAAGGAAGAATTTTAGTATTACATAATTCTGATTCCATGTCTAAATGCAGATTTATAATATATGCCTGAATATATATAACATTTAGTAAACGTAATACATCCGACATTACAAATGCATCTTGAGCAATGTTGATGTAATTGTCTCTGTAAGTCGCATGAAGCGATCCTCGGAATTAACTCAGCCCTTTTCGTAGGTCAACCACAATAATTTCTTGCAAGTAGACAAACTGACGCAAAGCTGATTTTTACGAATAGAACACGCATTCTCAGTTACAATGAATTATTTGTTGATGTGAAACCACGTAAATAAAAACAAGAGGCCCAAGGGCCTTAGCGGTCACCTGAGTTATATCATAGGTACTGGTAGCTTTATTTTATTGTTTAGATGTGATGAGGAAATCAGAATGTAAACTAAGTGAAATACAATACTTGTCATGTCATCAATGGATAAGAATTTGAAAATATTGGTAAATGTTCCCTTTGGGGCCCCACCCTAGCTCCTGGGGATGGGGCAGGAATCCTAATTTTACAAAGTAAAACTCTCATTTACCCAAGATGATTCTGACTAAGTTTGAGCAATTTTCTGCTGAAAATGGATAAAATATATACCGAAAAGTGTTATTTCCCTATATAAACTATAGTAAACTTTACCCCCTCCCCAAGGGAGAACGGATAGCTCGGGGGTCCTGAAATTTACAATTTAAGTAAAGCCCCTGATGATCTTTCTTTCCACGTAGAGAAAATCACTGTAGTACCTCTGAGTCTGGAGAAGAAGATTTTTGAAATATTGATTAATTTTCCCTTTGGGGCCCCGCCCTGGCCCCAGGGGTCGGGGTAGGAATCTCAATTTTACAATTTGAAACCATCTACCTCCAAGGATAATTCTCACCAAGTAAAAATAATTTCCTACAGAAAGTTGTCAAAATATACCCAAAAGTGTTATTTCCCTATATAAACTATAGTAAACTTTACCCCCTCCCCAAGGGAGAACGGATAGCTCGGGGGTCCTGAAATTTACAATTTAAGTAAAGCCCCTGATGATCTTTCTTTCCACGTAGAGAAAATCACTGTAGTACCTCTGAGTCTGGAGAAGAAGATTTTTGAAATATTGATTAATTTTCCCTTTGGGGCCCCGCCCTGGCCCCAGGGGTCGGGGTAGGAATCTCAATTTTACAATTTGAAACCATCTACCTCCAAGGATAATTCTCACCAAGTAAAAATAATTTCCTACAGAAAGTTGTCAAAATATACCCAAAAGTGTTATTTCCCTATATAAACTATAGTAAACTTTACCCCCTCCCCAAGGGAGAACGGATAGCTCGGGGGTCCTGAAATTTACAATTTAAGTAAAGCCCCTGATGATCTTTCTTTCCACGTAGAGAAAATCACTGTAGTACCTCTGAGTCTGGAGAAGAAGATTTTTGAAATATTGATTAATTTTCCCTTTGGGGCCCCGCCCTGGCCCCAGGGGTCGGGGTAGGAATCTCAATTTTACAATTTGAAACCATCTACCTCCAAGGATAATTCTCACCAAGTAAAAATAATTTCCTACAGAAAGTTGTCAAAATATACCCAAAAGTGTTATTTCCCTATATAAACTATAGTAAACTTTACCCCCTCCCCAAGGGAGAACGGATAGCTCGGGGGTCCTGAAATTTAAAATTTAAGTAGAGCCCCTGAGGATCTTTCTTTCCACGTAGAGAAAATCACTGTAGTACCTCTTAGTCTGGAGAAGAAGATTTTTGAAATATTGGTTAATTTTCCCTTTCGGGCCCCGCCCTGGCCCCAGGGGTTGGGGTAGGAATCCCAATTTTACAATTTTGAAGCCTCATCTACCAAGGATGATTCTGACCAAGTTTGGAAAAAATCCATCCACTGGTTCTTGAGAAGAAGTTGAAAATGTAAAAGTTTACGCACGACGCACGACGCACGAAGGACGACGACGGACGAAAAGCGATTAAAATAGGTCACTTGAGCAAAGCTCAGGTGACCTAAAAAGGATCATAAGCGGTTTAGCGTGTTTATTGTATTGACATTATACAAACCTAAATCTAAATGCCAGTCTTTGTATTGACAGTACACAAACCCTAACCTTAACACCAGTCGTACTGTTGACAGTACACACGTCAAAACCTTAACACCAGTCATACTATTGACAGTACACACATCTAAACCTTAACACCATTCGTAATATTTACAGTACAAAACCCATAACCCTAACACCAGTCGTACTATTGACAATACATACACCTTAACCTTAACACCATTCGTAATATTTACAGTAAAAAACCCTAACCTTAACACCAGTAGTTCTTTTGACAATTCATACACCTAAACCGTAACACATGTCGTATTATTGACAGTACACACACCTCAACCCTAATAGCAGTCTAATTATTAACAGTAAACACACCAAAACCTTAAACCAGTTGTCAATTGACAGAACATACACTCAAACCTTACCACCTGTCGTACTATTAACTACACACACCCAAATCTTAACACCAGTCGTACTATTGACAGTACATTCACCTAGACCTTAACACCATTTGTACTATTGAGATTACACACACCCAAACCTTAACATCAGTCGTACTATTGACAGCACACAAACCCTTACCTTTACAAGAGTCGCACCATTGACAGTACATAAAACCTAAACCTAAACACCAGTCGTACTTTTGACAATACACAAAACCCAAACCTTAACACCAGTCGTTTTATTGACAGTACCCAAAACTCAAACCTTAACATCAGTCGTACTATTGACATTACACACACGCAAACCTAAACACCATTCGTATTATTGAAAGTACACAAAAACCAAACTTACACACCAGTCGTATCATTACCACTTACACACTCCAAAACCTTAACATCAATCCTACTGTTGACAGTACACACACCAAACTTTTAACACCAGTCATGCTATTAACAGTACACACACACCCAAACCTGAACATCAGTCGTACGTTTGACAGTACACACACACCCAAACCTGAACATCAGTCGTACGTTTGACAGTACACACACCCAGAACATTACAGCAGTCGTTCTCTCGAAAATAAACAAACCTTAACCTTAACACATGTCGTACTTTTAACAGTACACAAAAACTCGTCCATTAACATCAGACGTAATACCGACAGTACAAACACCAAACCCTTAACACAAGTCGTACTTTTGACAATACACAAAACCCTAACCTTAGCACCAGTCGTATTATTGAAAAGTCACAAACCCAAACCTTAACACCAGTCGTACTATTGACAATACAAAAACTCTAACCTTATCACCTGTCGTATTATTGACTGTACACACACAAAAACCTTAACCCCAGTCGTATTATTGAAAATTCACAGCCCAAACCTTAACACCAGTCGTATTATTGAAAATTCACAAAACCTAACCTTAACACCTGTCGTATTATTGACAACACACAGACCTAAACCTTAGCACATATACTTTTTACGGTACATAAACCCAAGCCTGAACATTTGTTTGCGGTATACAAATATAAACCTACAAACCAGTGTTACTTTTTACATTGCAGAAAACATGAATAATGTATACTTAATCGGTATTACTTACTTATATCATAGGTTTATCGGCCAAAGAGAATTCTTTGTCAAACTGATCGTATGGGTGTCATGTAGATAAAAAAGGGGCTGCGTAACTGTGTTGTGATAACCTATTAATATAACAAAAGGCGCAGGTGGTAGTACCCACAGTTTTTACCTAATACAAACGGAAGGGGAAGACATATTGTAACTTCACACATACAGAAACTAAGAGACAAATATAGCATAACTTCAAACATACATAAGCTAAGAGGACGATATGTCATAACTTCACACATAAATAAGCAAAGAAGACGATATGTCATAACTTCACACATATAGAGGCTAAGAGGACGGTATATCATAACTTCACACATACAGAGGCTAAGAGGACGGTATGTCATAACTTCACACATATAGAGGCTAAGAGGACGGTATGTCATAACTTCACATATACAGAGGCCAAGAGGACGATGTGTCATAACTTCACACATATAGAGGCTAAGAGGACGGTATATCATAACTTCACACATACAGAGGCCAAGAGGACGATATCTGCTAGGAGTACGATATGTCATAACTTCACACATACAGAGGCTAGGAGTACGATATGTCATAACTTCACACGTACAGAGGCTTAGAGGACGATATGTCATAACTTCACTCATACAGAGGCTAGGAGTACGATATGTCATAACTTCACACATAAATAAGCTAAAAGGACGATATGTCATATCTTCACACATAAATAAGCTAAAAGGACGATATGCCATAACTTCACAAATAAATATGCAAAGAAGACGATATGTCATAACTTCACACATATAGAGGCTAAGAGGACGGTATGTCATAACTTCACACATATAGAGGCTAAGAGGACGGTATGTCATAACTTCACACATATAGAGGCTAAGAGGACGGTATATCATAACTTCACACATACAGAGGCCAAGAGGACGCTATCTCATAACTTCCCGCATATAGAGGCTAAGAGGAAGATATGTCATAACTTCACAAATACAGAGGCTAA